GGGGACTATAGAATTCAGAACACTTGTTATAAAACTTCTTAGAAACAATGAGAATCACATGCAGGAATTGAAAGAATATTTCACACAGGAAATAGCAACACTGCAACAAAACCAAGCCAAATTATTGGAAATGAAGCAGACAATGGAGCAAATTTTAAAAGTAAGTGGAAAGTATCAATAATAGAATGAATGAAACACAAGAAAGAATCTCAGAATTGGAAGATACTTTCTGTCACAATAGGGAAACAATCAAAAATGTTAAAGTGGAGCTGGGTCAAGCTAAAAAAAAAATCTGAGAATTGAAAAATTAGAAGACCTAATATAAGAGTTATGGGAGTTCCAGAAGGCTTAGAAAGAGAAGCTGGGGTTAAAGGTGTTGTATTCAATGGATTAATACACAAAAACTTCCCTAATCTGGAGAAAGAATTGGAAAACAATATCCAGATGGAGCACAGAACTTCCAACAGAGTTGATCAAAAGCGAACTTCACTACAATACATAATAATTAAGATCTCTTCAGTTGAACATAAAGCAAAGAACCTTAAATGTGCACGTGAAAAAAAAAATCAAGTGCGCTATAGAGGAACCCCAGTCAAACACACAGCTACTTGTCGGAGGAAACACTAAAGGCCAGAAGAGAATGGAGTGCCTTATTCCAGATTTTAAAAGGAAAAAATTTTCAACCCAAAATGACGTATCCAGCAAAGCTCTCCTTAGTCTTTGAAAATGAAATAAAATTCTTCCATAATAAAGAAAAGTTAAAAGAATTTGCCTCTTCCAAACCTGCCTTACAAATGATGCTTAAAAGAAATTCTCCTGACAGTAGAGGAAAAGCAACTACCAAAACCAAAGGTAAATGTGGCGAGCATCCCAAGAAAAAGTCAGCAGAAGACGAAAGAACAACCCATTGTTAAAATGACAGGACCAAACACTTGCCTATCCTTATTAACCCTCAGTGTAGATGGCTTAAACTCATCAACCAAATGCCATGGATTAGTGAACTCTGCTAAAAAATAGATCTATGTGTTGCCTAGAGGAGACTCATCTCACCAACAGAGATGAACAGAAACTGAAAGTGAAAGGATGGGAAAAGACATTCTAAGCGAATGGTAAGGAAAAATGTGCCTGTGTGCCATTCTTATATCAGATGATTTAGACGTTGACATGAAAAATATTAAAAGGGATGAAGAAGGACACCCCATGACAATAAAAGGATCCATTCAGCAAGAAGAGATCACCATAATAAATGTGCACACACCAAATGCCAAGGCACCTTGTTACGTGAAACAAATGTTAATGGATTTAAAGGAAGAAATAGACTCCCTCACCATAATAATGGGGACCTTAAAACCTCATTAATGTCAGTGGACAGGTTGACAAGACAGAAACTTGGCAAAGAAAAAAGAGAATTCTCCAAGACACCAGAGCAAATGGACTTAGTTGATATCTACCAAACCTTTCATCCTACAGACAGAGAATACACTTTTTTTTCCCATCAGGACATAGAATCTTCTCCAGAATTGATCATGTTATGGGTCACAAAACAAGCCTGAGCAGATTTGTACTTCTTTGATAAAGATTTTTTTTATTGCAAAGTCAGGTATACAGAGAGGAGGAGAGACAGAGAGAAAGATCTCCTGTCCGATGGTTCACTCTCTAAGCGGCTGCAACAGCTGGAGCTGAGCCAATCTGAAGCCAGGAGCCAGTAGCTTTTCTGGTTCTCCCATGCGGATGAAGGATCCCAAGGCTTTGGGCCATCCTCAACTGCTTTCCTAGGCCACAAGCAGGGAGCTGGATGGGAAGTGGAGCTACCGGGATTAGAACCAGTGACCATATGGGATCACAGTGTGTGCAAGGGGAGGACTTTAACCACTCTTCTATCATGACGGGCCCTTCTCCAGAATTGACCATGTTATGGGTCACAAAACAAGCCTCAGCAAATTTTTAAAAATTGAAATTATACCATGCATCTTCCCAAACATTCAAGGAGTGAATCTAGAGACCAGTAAATCAAAGCACTTAGGAAGACCTGCAAATGCGTGGAGACTGAATATTATGCTACTAAATGAGCAATGGGTTAGAGAGGAAATTAAAGGAGAAATTTTAAAAATTGCTTGAAACAAATTAATGCATTAACACAACACATCAAAACTTATGGGACATGATCAAGGGAGTGTTAAGAGAAAATTTATCGGTGAACTATATTGGAACCACTTGATCGAGAATCTCAGAGCATGCCCCACATCCGGGACTTAGGGTGGGTGGGAAACTGGGTGGGGCTTCTTCCTCTATATCCCCCTTTACCTCAGATACATGAAGGAAGCAGTATGGAAGTGATGGTCTTGCCCACTTCCCTGTAGCCCTTGAACCTTTTTTACCCCAATTAAATATGTAAGGATTGTCAAAAAAAAAAAAAAGTAAACACATTAATGAGAATAATAAAAAAAGAGAGAGAAAATTTATCTCACTCAATGCTTATGTTAAGAAATCAGAAAAGCACAGAGTAAATGAGTTAACCTTACAGTTGAAGGAGCTAGAACAACAAAGCAATCCCCAAATTAGCAGTAAAAAATAAATACCCAAAGTAATGGAAGAAATAAACCAAATAGAGACCAAAAGCACGATACACAAGATCAATGAATCAAAGAGCTGGTTCTTTGAGAAAAATTAACAAAATAGACTCCCCACTAACTCAATTAATCAAAAAAAAAGGGGGGGAAGATACGCATCAACAGCATCAGAGACAAGAAAGGAAACATAACAACAGATACCTCAGACAAAGAGAATTATTAGGAACTATTACAAGCAACTGTATGCCAACAAATCCCAAGTCCTAGAAGAGATGGATAGAATTTGAACACATACAATCCACCAAAATTGAATAATCTCAATAGAGCTATAACATGGACAGAACTTGAATCGGTAATTAAAGTCTTCACAATAATGGAGGCTGCTGGTGATTTAAAATGTGTGTAATTGAAAAAAAAGGCCAAATCCAGAAAGTAAATTTGTTTTCCTCCTTCATGTATTTCAAATGAATTTTTTCATTATTTACCATAAAATAAGTGTGGGGCTGAAAACTTTAATTTTGTGTTTGGTTGTTTATGGTTTGTGTTAGCGATTTGTCTTTTCAAACTTTTACCCAGAAATGGCTTGCAGCTGTGGAATGCAAAGCACAAACATTAGCTGCAGGGATTTCAGGGCTCATGTCTTGGATTTGAAACTTTTGTCTTTCTTGCTTATAATGTGTCTTGAAGCGCCACTATTTATATCTTAACGCGTTTGTTTATACAAGTCTAACCTTAGCATTAACCTCACTTTAGTTACTTTAAGAACTGAATTTTCCCATGTGCATATGTCCTTGTAAGTGCCATCAAAGCAAATTTTCTTTTTAAATGGTGGGACCATATATTTTATTAAAACATTTGGAACTTCAGAATATTGTAATTTTAGAGTTATTGCTGCTGGTTTTTTTTTTAAGATTTATTTTTATTATTTTTTTATTGGAAAGGCGGATATACAGAGAGGAGAGACAGGGAGGAAGATCTTCCATCCGATGATTCACTCCCCAAGTGAGCGCAATGGCCGGAGCTGAACCAGGCTGAAGCCAGGAGCCTCTTCCGGGTCTCCCATGCGGGTGCAGGGTCCCAAAGCTTCAGGCTGTCCTCAACTGCTTTTCCCTGCCACAGGCAGGGAGCTGGATGGGAAGTGGGGCTGCCGGGATTAGAACCGGCGCCCATATGGGATCCCGGGCGTGCGAGGTGAGGACTTAACCACTTGCGCCACCGCGCCAGGCCCTGCTGTTTTATTTTTAAGGACTTACTAATTGTTTATTTTTCTCATCAGCCAGTAGTTGTCTGGTATGATAGTTGCTTCTATTCAAGCACCTCTAGGGCTCATGTACTTCCATCATGGATTCCTGGGAGCAGCATCACAAATCAGAATTGCCCCCTCTGTCTAGTACAGAAGTGGAAGCAGGAGCCAGAGTGGTCACTGGGCCAGGTTGTAAATGAAACAAGATTTCCAACTTGTTCCTAATTCCTGGGCTCTTGCTGTTTGTCATTCCTGGTAGTACGGTCATTATTTTAATCACACTGTAATTTTCCCTGCACAATTAGTTTTCATACTTCTGTCCTTTTGGGAGTTAATTTCCTCTAAAGTACTTGTTCTGAAGCAGCTGAAATCCTACCTCCAGCTTCTCTGCTAGGTACATCTTGAGACCTGCTGATTGACAAAGCTGGCAGGCCAATTGCCAGTATAAGTGACATCTAGCAACTGGAGACTAGGGGGGTGGCAAATAAACACTAGGATAATTCCTAGCCTTATCACAAGAAGTATCTGACCCAAATAACTCAATGTAATAGTAAGTAGTTACATGACACTGGCCTAAAGAATGAGATTTGATATTCCATTCCTCTATCTGCTGACATATCTGTAACACTGTCCCCCACCCCCCTACACACGCACACCAAATTATTTAAAATATGTTTCTTCAGGTATTTTAACTTAAAGGTGTTTGTCATAGCACAGGAATGATGTACTGTTATTAAGAATAGATGTTGGGCCTGACACTGTGGCCTAGCAGCTGAAGTCCTCACCTTGAACATGCTGGGATCCCATGTGGGCACCGGTTCTAATTCCAGCAGCTCCACTTCCCATCCAGCTCCCTGTTTGGGGCCTGGGCAGACAGTCAAGGACGGCCCAAGGCCTTGGGACCCTGCTCCCGCATGCGAGACCTGGAGGAAGTTTCAGCTCCTGGCTCCAGATCAGCACAGCACCGGCCATTGCACTCACTTGGGGAGTGAATCATCAGATGGAAGACCTTCCTCTCTGTCTCGCCTCCTCTCTGTATATCTGACTTTGTAATAAAAATAAATAAATCCTAAAAAAATAATAGAATAGATGTTAATACTTTTCTCAAAATGCTATAAAGGTTTTCAGAGGAGTAGATTAGGCTGTTACGGCGGAAAAAGAAAAAATCAAAGCACAAATACTTTAAACCAATTTTTGTAATCTCTTTATTTTCTAATTTTACTTATTTCAGACTTTCCTGTTTTATAAGATGCTGTCCTAATCATGTGGTTTTCAAAATTACCTTTTCTATGCATATATAGGATACACTTCGGTTTGGAATTGATTTTGTCTTCCAAGAAAGTCATCCAGGGATATCCTGACAATATTGCTTAGAGTTGAGGTGAAAATGTTATATAATTTTAACAATTGACATGCTGTTAAAAGCTTATAATAACTGAAAATTTAAAATAAGAGTTAAATTCTTTATATAAACATCCACTACACATTTTTACAGGGGTTTTATAGCTAGGTAAACATAATTAAAAAAGAAAATCATAGCCTAAAAATTAGTTTGTAATGAATAGCATCTGTTCAGTTGGTACTGAGCATATACTGTAGATTTTATTATAAGAAGTTAGCTTTAACAAGGCTCTAAAGACATGAGAATTTCAATGTGATTATATCAAACCATAATTAACATTATCAGAAATATTACAGTACTAAAGTTATTAAAGAATAGTAAGACTAGCATGATGTACTCTTCAAATAACGGTCCATGTCCATTTTTTTTTTCTAGCAGTAAATGAAAAAGCACAAATGTTGCTAAGTCAGGCATTCCATTTACAGTACAATTCTTTTAAAAATGCACGTAATATTACTTCTCGGCCTTTTTGGCTTACATCAAGTGTAAAAATGCACATGATAAAAAGAGTTAAATACTGAATGTCCTCTTTTTCCTACTGAGAAAGGAATGTTCAAGACAAAAGATTTACGCAAAATCGCTTGTATGTAAGAAGAAACTGTAGTAAATACTTGTTTCTCTTCACCCTTATGTTATCAATGATTTGGCAAAATTTTGTTGAAATTTTTTGTCATAACACATCAGTGGACTTGCCACTTGGAACAGACTTTAGCTTGTGTATAAAATACCACAATTATTAATAGAGTTCAAGTATTCAAAATGTAGGTTTTGAATTTTGTGCTGAATGGACATGAATAATTATTACTTTCTGAAGTTTCCAAGCTGAACACTCATTCGGTTCAAGACACAACGAAATGTTGCAGGTTGTATTTCCCTGGGATTTACCGGATTGTTGGATAAGCTGATTGCACTGTACAAAGATTTCTTCATCTTTGGCACTGTTGGACAGAAGTCATTCACTCCCACTTTAGTGATTGAATTAGAATTAAGGAAGATTACCTGTTGTAGTAGGGGAAAAAAAGAATGGATTAAAGTTTCCCGTCAGTGTGAAATGAAGTTGCTCTTTATAGGCAACATTTGTTTTCGGGTTCATTCATCTATTTGATATTGATTTGAGTATATTTTTTAAATCTATGTGTTCATTTATGCAAATAAAATTCTGTTATGATGACTCAGACTTGCCTCAAAAAACAAGAAAATGTTATGGAAGTGAGGAAGTTAGGTCCAAAGCATGCTCCCTTGTCAGACCACTTTTCTCTTCCAGTCTCTCTCTCCCCTGCAGCTCCTCCCTTCCCCTCTCCCACATCTATACACAGTTATTTCTGTACCACATTTATGATAATGCATTCAGAAAGTTTTATAAATGAGCAGAATGAAATTAAAGCTCCAAAACCTAGGCTGGCAATATGAATGTAAAATAATAGTAAACTAGCATTTTTTTTGTGATTAAGGCAAGGAACTGTAGAACTGTATTTTTTAGTTATTTTGTAGAAAGATTTGCCAAGATCTTAAACACACATTTGTAATACAGCATCAATAGTTGAATGTTTCGTTTGCACCAATAGACAAATCACAGTGTTATAGATTTTTTTTTTCATGGTGAGATTTCTGAGAAGTAAAAGCATTTCAGCAAATTAAAAACTAAAAATCTTATTGACAAAACTGGGTTGTCAGCCCTGTTAGGTCCAGATTCTGCCCAATCATTACAACTCCATGTATTGCCAAGATGTTTTAAGTTTAGTGTCTTCCCTCCATCCCCCCTCCCTTGCCATTATTAGTCCTAGGGACTTCGTGACATGTAGTTCTGCTACATTTCCATGACTAAGTATCACAGCAAAATATAGTTGACCCTAGCATTGACCTCACTGGGAAGTCACTGGGCCAGACATGGCCGTGTTTCCTTTCTTAACATTCATTGAATTGCACACTTGTGGCCCATGTTCTTCAGCTTGTTTATAACTCTTCATTTAAAAAATGCAGAAAGAGAGTTGGCAGGGGTCTGAGCTGTGGAGAAGCGAGGGCAGGGTGGTCTGCCTGGATTAGCAGACTCAACATCCACAAGCCATCATGCTCAGGAAAGTCAAAGCAGTGAGTGAGCCTTGAGATGCACACGTGCCCATGACACCTCCGTCCCATGAAAGTGACCCAGAGGACTGCAGTGGGCAGTGAGTGCAGTGTGCATGAAGGGAATCTTGAAGTATTTGCACCCAGTAGTGTTTTGCTTCTTAGAAGGCGGGAAGATGTTTCACAACAAGGAAAGCATATGAGCAAAATGGATTGAGGTGAAATGATATTCAGTATAAATTCTCATAAATGACAAATTTTGTGTAAACTCTAAAATCATATGTAAAGCATTGTCTCATCATAGTGACTTAACGGTTGCTGTATTTGAGGGAAAGGACTTATGATAAAGTATGAACTCATGATCATGACTTTGGGTCACTTTGCATTCCAAAAATCTTAATCTTCTGCTGTGCCTTGTGAGATGTTTGTAGGACAACAACAAAAAAAAGGCTCTTGCCCAGTCCTGGCTCTTGCACCACCTCAACCCCAGAAATCTGACACCAGCTGAGCCAGTATCTGCACACTGATCTAAATAAATAGTCTCTATGACAGAAACTGCAGATGGATGTGGGCCTGGAGAGTTACTGTGCTGCATGATCCTGCTGCTTGCTTCATCTTTGCTGGAGAAATGCTAATGTACCTTATGAAAAACAAAGCGTTAATGGCTATTAAACACAGGAAGTTTTACCTGGAGATATTTCAACTCTTGTAATCCTGAAGGAATTTTCTTTAGTTTATTTTTTTCCAAGTGTATTTCCCTGACACGTGGTATATTAGCAAAGCTTCCATTTTCGATGTCCGAGATTCTGTTATTTCCTAGGCCCAGCCTAGAAAAGATACAAAATGGATCGTTCATTATACAGTTAAGCTTGACAGAGTTAGCTTAAAACACCACAGAACCTAGTGTGAATACGTGCCTACCTTGCTTTTGTGTATGCCCAAAGAAAGGGAAGTATTTCCTGACTTTATTTAATCGTCTACTTCAATGTGTAAGTTAAATAGCTACTGGCAAAAGTTCTCTCTGCTACAATGAACCAAAGGGAGACTTGGAAATTGCCTTCTTCCTCTCTTATATGGTGGCTTCATGCCAGGGACAGGTAAAAGCAAAAGTGCTGTCGTGCCCAAGGGCAGCAGTGGCAATCTCTGCCTTTATCAGAAGACTAAGATTAACATCTCAGGTTTTGCAGAATGTTTACCTTTGCAGTTCTTTGTAGCGTTTAAAATCTTCAAGTTCCACAGTTGAAATTTTATTGTAGTCTAAATGGAGCTCCAATAAAGTTGATGGCAGATCTAATAAAGAAAGAAAAACGTGTTAGCACAAGTGAGAACAAACCCCATTGCCAGTTTACTTCTCACGCTTGAGATTGTGAATTTAGGCAACTTGACGTTTTGTTGTGGAAAATTTAAACTATTCACAAAAATAGGAACTGATGTTACATGCCACAGTGCTGTTGCCCAGCTCCAGCAGTTAAACATAATTTTTCCAGTCTTGTTTCATCAACTCCATTAGTCATTTATTTATTGAATAACTTACCTATATTTTTGTTTGGTCACTTTTTTTTTTTTTTGGTCAGAGTTTTTGAAGCTAAATCCCATGAATAGTGTAATTTTACCACTAAGCTCTTAATGTCTAATAGATAAGGTCTTCTTTGTTTGTTTGTTTGTTTGTTTTAAATAGAAGACCAGGTCAGTTATCATAGCTTATATATTCAGATGTGTCAGATGTATCCTTTTAAAGCTAACTTACTCAAGTCTGGGATCCAAATAAAATTAATATAATACATTTTATTCTTATCTCAAACTCTGTTTTTCTACAGTATACGTCTCCTTTTTTTTTTCTGATGTGTTTCAGTTTTTAATTGACTTATGACATCAGTTTATGGACTTAGTTCATTCTGTGATACTATTTACCAGGATCTTCGATGTCCTATTTCATTGGATATGGAGGCATGTGATTTAACTGCGCTGGCTTACTTCTTACCTGTTCATTTTAGCATCCGTGATCACTAGTTTCATTCCATTCAAAATACTGCCTTTCCTTTTTCATTCTAAATTATTTTATTAGCTGGGATTGCTAAAGAAGATTTCTTCATCCATTATTTAGTTCTTTTGTAATGCAGTTTTTATATAAGAGGCAATAAAAAAGCTTTATTCTTTCAAATAAGGAATTGTGACAGTGCCCAGAGGTGATCAGTTAAGTTTTATAAAAAAGCATAAAAATATACATATGGACCTTTATTGTATTAATAATTCAATTTGCATTATTCTTTCCATCTTTAATAGTTTTTATATATGTTAAGAGCCACATCTTCAGTGCTCTGGCAGCTGCTGGATGCCCTGTGAATATCCCTTCTCACACTGACATATTCTGACGCTGTCCCTCACTAGGTGAACTGAGGCTGGAAAGGACTGAACAGAGTATCGGGTCAATCTCAGTCCCTTGGTCCTGTGTACAAGCTGGTGTTTGCAACCAGCAGCTCTAGGTCGCTAGTGGAAAGGGCTTGCTTTCTTAACTCTTACTGAAGCGTTTTCATCCCATATTAGTTTTTAAGACTGATGAAGAAATTAAAATATCCTGTGAATAGTCATTGTCTTCAGAGTTGAATTTATTTTGATCCCAGAATCTATTTTGAATTTTATAAGTAAACAAACAGATTTCTGCTGGTTTAAATCCTCAATTGATCTTAATGATGGAAACCAAGGTGTGTCCTCTCTGAATTCTGAATTGAGCTTAATTATGGTAGACTAAGCTGTGTCCTCGGAGGTTGGAAATGCTACCTGAGCATATCATCACATGTACAAACAATCCTGATAAAGGCAGGTGAAGCTGGATACCAGCTTATCACAAAGTGGGTTCTAGAAAATCAGAGAAAAGAAAAAAATTCCTGGAAGAAGACTAGAAGAACTTGAGGGGACTGTTTCTAGAAGCAGGAACCTTTGGGTAGGCAGTTGCGACGGCAGTTAAGATGCCTGCATCCCAAACTGGAATTCTCTGCTTCTTGATTAGCATGGAGCAGCTAAACTAACTAAAAGGTAGCAGTGGTAGCCCAGTCACCCACAAGAAACCCAGACTGAGCTCCAAGCTCCTGGCTTCAGCCTGGCCCTCCTGGCTGCTGAAATCGTCTGGGGAGTGAAAACTACCTTTCAAGTAAAAATGAATAAACTTTTAAAAAGAAGAAAGAGTTACATAGAAAAGGAGAGATGGGTAGAGATTTCTTCCATCCAGAGGATCACATCTCCAGAAGCTACAGCAGCCAGAGTTGAACCAGACTGAAGCCAGGAACCAGGAGCTTCACGTTTATCTCCCTAGTGTGTATCAGTGGCCCAAGCACTTGGACCATGCTCTGCTGCTTTTTCCAGGCCATCCGCAGGGAACTGGGTGAGAAGTGGAGCAGCCAGGTCTCAAACCAGTGTCCATTTGGGGTGCTGGTGTCACAGGCAGTGGCTTTACCTGTTAATGCCACAATGCTGTGTATTTATTTGTTTTGTTAATCTCTGATTCAGATGAGTAGAGAGGAGTTATAAAGTTGATGGTTTTACTGGTGGATTCTGAAAGAACTGTTTGAAAATGAAATTAATGTTGTTTGTCGCAGGGGCATGGAGGGAGAAGGGAAGAGGGAGAGCAAATTTAAGCAATCTCATCTGAGACAAGGAAAGCAAGACTTTGTAGTTTTGCAAAAGGCATTCTGTCCAGCGAGATATCATCCAGCAAGTATGAATATTTTACTTGGAGGTACCAGCCTCAGAACCCCTGAAACATGAGAATAAAAGCGGGGCTGCTGTTGTTACAGTGTTACAAGGGAAACTTTTGTGTGTCAGATGCTGTCTGCGAGTGGTGTTGGCACAGAGCTGCAGACAGAGCTCTTGCCCACTGTGCCAGGCTAGCCTAGCAGGCGCTGCCTGGACCTTCAGCACAGCTGCGTACAAGGCTGTGTAGCCCAGGCAGCTTTCTCAGCCTCTAGTGTAGACATAGAGGAGCAGATGTCAGCACAGGAGAAGGAAACTAAGAAGTTCACTGCTTCCTCATGCTTATTCTTGTGGGCACAGGTGATGTTATGGTTTGACTGGGTAAAGAAGCAGAAAGCCTCGAATGGGTGAGAAAGTGTTAAATTTTAGATTGCACCTACCAGATGTGCTGCACCCATACAGGCTTCCAATTGCAGTGTTGGGTTGACTGTGTACACCGCACAGTTTACAGCATGACATGTAATAGTCATCAGAATGTCTTACATGAATACAAACCTTTAGGAATCGAGGTTAGCTTTGCTTCTGCAATTCTGATGTGGAACACCGTCACCCCTTCAAATGCCCCTGGCTCTATGCCATTGTTATCAAGAGGGTTTGCACTCATTTCTGTTGGGAGAGAACATGGGTTAGTTAGTCAAATCATAAACATTTAAACAATTTTTTTGGGTTTCCAGTATACATACATAGAACAGTCAGAAGCTATTTTAGCAACAACAACAAAAAAAAGTGACAAGATGCCAGTAGGAGACTGGTGAGTGGATAAATAAAATCCTGGTTGGCGATTTTTTGAGTGGATGATACTACAAGATAGTATGACCGTGTCCGGGAAGTCAAAAAGAAAATAGAGTGAAATTCAAATATGAGTAAAAAAAAGGGTTAAGTTCCAAATAGTGTATAAATTAATTTTATATATCTGAGTAGTTTTTACAGTGCATTAAAACACTGCACGAATGGTGTGGATTCTATTGAAGTCCAGTCAGGAAACAGAAACAGCATCAGATGTATCAAAGGCGATTTCTTAGAAAATTACGAAATTGCGTTTTTAGTGCTATAAAGTATTTTAGTATTTTAATTGGTTAATAGATGATTCAGCTAGGTCAAGGCGATCAGATTTTTAAGTTCATGGTTGAAGTGTTCTGCCTCAGCGTGTTGATTATGATATCAAGATGCCCCGTTCATATGGAAAACTTACCCAAAACATGTAAAGCATTCATTCCTTTAAATGTGTCCTTTTGTATTTTCTTAACTTTGTTATCATGAATTCTGAGTTCTGCTAGTGATTTGGGAAGATTAAGTGGTATTTCATTTAGTTGATTGTGGGACAAATAGAGCCTTCGCAACTTTTTTGTGGTTAGAAAGGTTTTTGGATGAATCTTTGTGAGCTTGTTGTTGTTCAGAATCAAAGCCTAGATAAAGCATAAGAAGATCAACAACATTAAGAAGTAGATTTGGTTTACTGGAATTCTACCAGGGCTATTCAATCACGGAAATCAATGCGATTAATGTCTTTTTGTGCTTCATCAGCTACATGAAAAATTTCTAAAATTAAGTTTATAAGCAAATATTTCCTGCTGAGTTGTAATGATTCCCAGGTTTGGTGACTGATGCTGTGCCTTTGAGGTATATACACACTTGCCTTCATATGCACACTCATGTTCTTATCCTTGGGTAGGTTATATGTTTGCATAGTTGAGGCTTCAACCTGGACCCAGCCATTCATGGAAATAATCAACCATAATATCTAGGTCTTATCTTAAAATCTGTTTACAGATGATGTTTAGTGCACACTAAGTATGTGCTTATATTTTTTTAGAATCTGTTTTGGAAACCTGCCTTCCTAAAAGCATATGAGTGTTTTCCATTTCACCCAGAATAGAGGCCTGCCTACGAAATGGGTCTCCCAGCATTCTGCCCATTTTCAGTTCTGAGGCAGATCATACGTAATGGATCCTGAGAAACACCTGTACCCTTCTCTCCATAAGTGCTTCTCGGGGCAGCACCAGTCAGAAGAAAGCCAACTTAGGAGCAAAGAGCTCCTCTGGACAACTACACTGTCTCATCCAAGTGTCTTTCAACATATCACACTTAGTGACCCAGGACCCAGTCTGTTGTCACTACAAAGTCCTGAACAAACTGGGACACATTGGACACCCTAATAACTTATCACTGCAAAATGCACAGAATTCTGTCCATTTTCCATTAAACCTGCTTTTGTAGAAATAATTCTCAGTGTTAACCATGGACGATGGCAAGTGATTTAGCAGCTACAGTGCCTCATTTCCCCTCTCCTAATCTAGATCAATCGAATTCTGCACAGACTGAGGCTGTAGGGACATTTCCACTGTTTGTAGACTTTCTGTTGTTACTATGCCAAATGGACTGGTGGATCACAAAGGAACTGGTGAATGCTCCTTGACCTCAGGAGATAAATTTAAGCAGGCAGCTGGCTGTGCACTCTGTGGGTTTTTACAGGAGATTCCCAAAGTTGCCATCATGAGATCCAGAACACAGCTCTGCATGTGCTCTGGGACTTTACCCGTTCTATACTATTGTTGTCTGTAGGAGCCTGAATAGGAACAAGCATGGAGAATTGGGAAATGTCTGAAAGTTTTTAATCCTCTTAAATTGTCTGACAAGGTGATATCATCTTAAAGCAATGGTTTATAAGTATCTCCAGAGTGCAAGCATAAGGCAAGTCATGAAAGTGTTGGGGTGGGGGGCCGGGGTAACAGCATTGGCAGTGCTACACATTGAGCCGCTGCTTGAAGTGCCAGCATTCCATCATCAGCTGCTCCCTGCTGATATGCTTGAAAGGGCAGTGTTAGGCCCAGGCGCTCCAGCCCCAGTTACCCATGGAAGAAACCATGATGGCGTTCCTGGATTCCAGCTTTGACCTGGCCTGGACATGATTATTGCAGTCATTTGGGCAAATGGAACTAATAAATGGAAGATCTTCCTGTCTCTGTTACTCACCTTTCAAGTAAATGAATAATGTTTAAAAACCACTTTTGGGGATGGGTCTTTTGCCTAGCATTGAAGATAGCAGTTAATATGCTTGCATTTGGATTTGATTCCAGTTCTACTTCTGGTTCCAGCTCACTGATGATGTACACCTTAGAAAGTGGTAGAGATGGCACAAATAACTGGCTGCCTGGGTCCCAGCCTTTGTGAGCATTGAAGAATGAACCAGTAGATAGCAGCTCTTGAGTTTTCTATGCTTCTCAAAAAGTACATTTAAAAAAGAATATTCTTAAGCTCTTGGCATTAGTACATTGGCTAAAGCTGCTAGGTTGTGAACCTTATGCCAGCCTGGCAGTAATACTGCCAGGGTTATTAGTTAGACCCTATCTTTGCTAAAAAACTTACCATGTGTTCAGTGTTCAGTTCTTTCAGTTCCAGGCTTTTGTCACCCCTCTTAACATCTGAGGAAAGTGTGGCCTCTTCCCAAGGGTAAGCTCTTAGCGGAGCAGAAGACTCAGGGCTATCTGACTTTAAACACAGTGTTGTATAAGTGTTGACTAGAAGAAAACCAGTAAGGGGGCCACCATTTTGGCACAATACATTAAGCCCCCACTTGTGGCATTGTCATTCCCTCTCGCAGTACTAATTTAGGTCCTAATTGCTTCCAGCTTCTTACTAATGCATTTGGCAAGGATGAAGGAATATGTCCGAAGTACTTGGGCCCTGTCACCTACAGAGGAGACCTGAAAGGAGTTCCAGCTCTTGGCTTCAGCTTGGCCCAGTCCTGGCTGTTGCAACCATTTAGGAGATGAGCAGGCAGATGGAAAGTCAATTTATCTTTCCCCTCTCTCTTCCACTCCGTTTTGCTCTACATTTCAAATAAATCAATCATAAAAATTAAATCAAGCCTGGGAAAGCTACTGATACCTTTTAGAGTCTTACTTCTGCTGCCTATAGGAGCCCCTTTGACCTGTCCCTAGAGCACTAAGATGTACTAGACGTATCATGGCTCTGGTGTTAACTGGGACATGAGTTATTACTCTGGTTACTAAGGGGTCAAGAAGGGGTAGAGACATTTCTAGGCTCATTTCCAGTTTCTGCTAAAATAATGACTTTGCTGTTCTCTAAAATCTCTGTGCTTTGAAATCACAGGAATGGGTTGGGTGAAATCTGTTATGGTTTTTCTGACTGACTTAATATTTAAATGAAGCCTATTCTAAATGTATGCCTTTAAGTTCTACTTTTTAAACATGCAAGTGGAAGTTGTGCTACCTATGGAACTTTCCCGAAGCCGAACTGTGTGTGATCCAAATGCATGGTCTCAGCCCAAGGATGATGGAGAGATTGCAACCTCACACCTCTAAGGAGGAGGATAGACACAGCAGGCTCGCAAGGCCTAGTGGGCTGACTTAGCTGAGTTGACAGACTGTGTGTTTGTTTTCTCCAGCTTGGGGGAGACAGCCTGGTAGAGGTCTCCCTGTCTCCAGGACAGTGCAGAGTAGAACCACTCTGTAAATGCCAACCAGACCCAGGGAGGGAGGAGTGGTGCTGAAGGAACACATGCCCCCACAGTCAGCCTCCAGTTAAGTCAGAAACTTTGCTTGCTGGCATCTGGAAGACTCAACTGTTAAGCAGGAAATAATACCCTCTGAAGCATTAAAAATGTTGGGATGGCATTAGTAAGCATAGTAAGGAAAGATTTGTTCTTAGAAGTCCAGGACAGAAGCCGTCCGTGTGTGTTGGTCAATCAGCTGTGTTCTGTGTGGAGTCTACAGATTGCTCACAACGAGCTGGGGACTGTAAGTGCAGAGATATTCTTCATTTTCATGCATGTGACTGCTACCACCTGAATGAATTGTTGCAGACTACCTTAAGGACTAATGAACTTTATCTAATTGTCTTTTCAGCCTGTTGTTAGCTTTAAATGCCACCTGAATTACATTATCGGTTGAATCAAATCCGTAATTTTTAATTGACGAGAAATCCCTGTTAACTAGAGATTGTGTCATTCTTCACATACGCACAGTTAGATCTTATAGTAACACAATATAAATAATCATTTTAGCAATGATAAAGATTACACATAATTACTTAAAGATTTGAGCATGTATTCTTACATAGAGCGAAGTGAGTCCTTTGAAGTCATTTTCTTTGATTTCCTTAATTTTATTATTTTGGAGGTCAATTAGGCGAGTATCAAACGGAATGTTGCTGGGGACTGAAGTCAAACCTGAGAAATAAACAAACATGTTATGTGCTAGAAAATCGTGTTGGGACAAAGTCACAAGTATATTAGAAAGGAACTTTTTTTTATTTTGAATTCTCAGTCACAGTGGGTTAAAAAGAAAGTCATTGTTTTTGAGGGGGATCGAGATCTCAAAATCTTTTCATGTGACTCAGTTATTTTTACAAGGCAGCTGCCTGGATCTGGCTGGCTTCACAGTTGCTCACGAGAGACGTAACCCAGGTACAGTACTGTAAGGATTGGAGCACAGCTCTGCTGTGTACTTTTAGCTAGAGAATCTTAGTCTGGTTTTAATTTTTATGCTGTCGAAAGTAAGAAATTGAAATACATGTTCTTGATAGTTTTTAAAACAATTTATTTACTTGAGTTATAGAGAAAGAAAGAGGAAAAAAAAAATCTTCCACCCACTGATCGATTCCCCAGATGACCACAATGACCAGGTTGAGGCCAGGCTGAAGCCAGGAGCCTCTTCCAGGTCTCCTACATGTGTGCTGCAGCTATCTTCCACTGCTTTCCCCCATTATTAGCAGGGAGCTGGACTGGAAGTAGAGCAGGTGGGACTCAAACCAGCACTCCTCACCACAAATGACAACCTAATCCACTGTGCCATAGTGTCAGCCCATTCTCAATCATGTACCATGTAGAAAATTATTATTCAAGGGCCTGACTGCATGGCCTAGCAGCTAACGTCCTTGCCTTGAACGCGCCAGGATCCCATATGGGTGCCGGTTCTAATCCCAGCAGCCCCACTTCCCATCCAGCTCCCTGCTTGTGGCCTGGGAAAACAGTTGAGGATGGCCCAGATCCTTGGGATCTTGCACCCACGTGGAAGACCTGGAAGAGTTCCTGGTTCCTGGCTTCGGATCTGACTTTGTAATAAAAAATAAATAAATCTTTAAAAAAAATTTTATTATTCAAAATGGATGAATTGGATTATTTCCATGTATATAATCAAAAACTTTACCCATCTTCTTTAAGTAATCAACTCCTCTAGTTATAAATTCTTCTACAGATCATAGTGCTGCTACTGAAGGAAGAACAGGGTCTTCCTTTTATTTACCAATCCTCTTACAAGTGCAACACTAGCTTTCCTCTGTTTTTCTGAGAAGATAGGACTTCATGTTTCATCTTTGTGTTGGGCCTCCCTACAGCAGGTGCGCATCAGGAACATGCAGCCTTCTTGATTTTTCCCAGCATTTTATTAAGCAAATATTTAAAAATTGGTTCAGAATTCAAAATAAAAAAATATTTAAAAAAAAATCCTGGTTCCTGGCTTCAGATCGCCGCGGTACCAGCCGTTGCACTCCCTTGGGGTGTGAATCATCGGACGGAAGATCTTCCTCTCTGTGTCTCCTCCTCTCTGTATATCTGACTTTGTAATGAAAATAAATAAATATTTAAAAAAATGGTAAGAACATTGCAGTGGAGGCTGAGATTCTCACTGCTGACTTTCTATATTAGCACGTCCCTATAGGAAACTATCCTTCCCCTGGGTAGTTCTTTGGAAAGAATTAAAAAAAATGTATTTTTGCAAGAACTTTATAGATACTGGCATTCTTTTGATAGGAGCATCCTCACTCCTGAAAGGGCAGTTATGTATTTAATCACCTCAAACTGAGGAACAGAATATCCACATATCCTAAATGTCAACCTTCTGTTCTATAAATCCTGTGTACTTCCCTCTGCATTTTAAGATTGTATGCAGAAGAAAATATCCATGTTTCTGTTTCAAGAAATTGAGTTATAGATGGGACGAGGAAAGCACAGGGAGTAAGTTGTCAGAGGAAGTCCTGTTTTGCCCGTAAGAATAGATGGATTCTACCATCTTTATAAATATAGTAGGTTATTCCAATGTCAGAAAAATGAATGGAAGTCATGAAGAAGGGAAGCTGGAGGTTCTGTCGAAAGAATCCTCCTTGTACAAACTTGGACTTGCACAAACCCATTCTTCCCACCTTCCCCCGATGACTATGAAGCCCGGAAAAAAAGCATCTTGTTTCTTGAGGCAGGAACAGTGGCAAATTGCCAGCCCTTTGTGATCCAGTCAGGGAAGAGGGGTGTGCACATCTGTTGAAATAGACTCTGGAAGTGTCGCCAGCCACCATTGGCCTCTGCATGGGAGCCAGCCCCTGACCTCAGCGTCCGCAGTGAACCTGGTCTCAGTGGTCCCTCTGTTAGAAATAACTGGACTGGCAGTGAATGGGCACTGCCATCTGCTGCCATGGCACATATGAGCTGTCCTCCAGTGCTTCCTTTTGAAGAAGTAGAAATACAGCACTCAGTGGGGAATTCAAAATTTCAAGGAGACCTTAAACTACCTCTTTTCTAGGCAGCTCTATTGCAAGTCATTTGAAAGAAATTGAGCATTATCTTTTGACTGTCTAGGCTAGAGATTTCATGAACTCTGTATTCTAATTCATTTTCTGAAAGGCATTACTTTTGTTATTCTGGACTTTAACCAAGAAGTACAATTTCAACTTGCTAACCTCCTCTAATGAAACTGTAGCAAAGCCTGTTTTCTTTGAAAGAAAAGAAAATGTAGCATTTTGGTTTGAGAAGAGAAGGAAATGTTCCAAATGTAACGTCCCTATTGTTTTCCTCAGATTTTCTGCATTTTAAAAATAAGCTTAGATGTACTTACGATTTTCTCTCCATCTAAAATCTTGAAGTGCTTTATTGTTATTGAGATTTTTTTTTTTTTTGCAATATCAATGAAGACTTTTCCTATCCTTTTAGTTGGTGAGAACTATCATTGTTTCTCAAAAAGGAAAAAAAAAAGTTAGCTGATGTTCCTACCTAGGTCAGAACAGTGCACAACGCGTGAATAGCACTGGCATCCAAATGGGCACGTTGGAAACAGATCGAATGGGAAAAATGGATAGACTGTCTCTTTTGTTGGAAAAACAGAGTTGTCATCGTCGTCGTCGTCATCGTTGTCTTCCATGTCCTTCAGCATCATGTTTTTCAGGGCCAGGTGAGAGGGGCTGCGGAAGGGCTTGGCAGAGCACAAGGCAGCAAGGAGCAGCAGCAGAACACAATCCTTCATGGTGTCTCAGCCTAGGGACAGACAGACACGGAGTACCCAGAGGGCCGTGAGCAGGTGCAGTGTCCGCATAGGCAGAGTGGGAGGAAATGACATGTTTATCCATTGCTAGGCAGTTTGACTATGCAAAACGTTTTGTGAAGCAATTTGGCAGGATGTATAGGGAGCTTTCAAAATAACCTTTCTTCTCAATAATTCTTTTCGGATTCCAATTCCAGGAAAAATTCTAAAATACATACTTAAGCACAGTTTTATTGATTACAGGGGAATAATAAAGTGGAACATATTTATTCCACAAAATATTTCAGAGCCCACAAATGCCTATAAAGAGTATTTTTAAATATCAATTTTTGTGTGAAACAGAAAGGGAAACATTAAAAAAATCTACACCTCGAGTACTTGCAAACACTTAAAGAAGTAAGCTAAAATAGAACTGTGTATGCCTAATCGATTGTATGGTTCTGATGATAGGAAAGTGGGTGTTTGTTTCAGTTCAGTTTTATAACTAATTAGTAGTGATTTGTAGTTAGGAAACTAATGAATATTTTTAAAAACAATAGAAGGTTATCATACCTAACCCTCTGGCTTCAGAATACTTCCATAACCTTAATATCCACAACCCCTGGACGGCATCTGCAAGTTCTCCGTAGTGATTTCCCTTCCCAGCCTCACTGCCATTGTGGTCACTTTTTCCACAGTGTCACTGAAATCTTCTTTCCTTCTAATCTATTCCATTGTCTAATACCAAACCATCTGATGTCTAGACAATTCCCTGCTTGTTTATCTTCCCACTGAGTTTGTGTGTTTTTGCTGGGGGCTGAATTGTTTTCAGTTGTGTTTTCAATGCTTACACACATGGGAATGAAAGCCTGAGCATGGATCCATGGCCCCTTGCTGTCTGATATTCTCACAGGTATGTGTATATATCATCTACTTCTTAACTACCTGCTGCTTGTTGAGATTTGTGTAGTCTCAAAGACTTTCAAAAGCATTACAGAATCATCCAAAATAGGTATAATGCAGAAATCCCCTGTCTGTTCATTGTCTCCTACACCTGCTTTCACAGCAATAGTAATCACTGTCTGGATGCCTTCAGTTGGGTTGATCTGGATTCCTTGGATCCTGCAAAGAGGGGCCACCTGGCTTCCTTCCTGTGCCCCACTATCCCTGTCTCTTCTCTGATTTTATTCTGGGTGCTTTCTGGCTCCCTAACACTCTCTTCCCAGCTATGCCTCAGCCTCCAAAATACTCACTCGCCTAGGATTTACTTCTTGGTTCTCCAGGTTCACAAAGCTGTTCATACTTTGGGTTTCTCTCTTTTAGGGCATACTTTTTGTTTGTTTGTTTTTAACCTTGTCTGACACCTCTCTACTTAGGGAATAAAAACCCAGTGCCTCCTCAGCTGCCGAAATAGAAGTCAAGACTTGTGAAATTATGTGTCAGGTCATTCATGGAAGGTCACATAAATTATAATGCTTACAGTATTAGTACAGAAGAACCACAAATAGACACTGTCAGCTGCATACACTGATGGAATAGGGAAGAAGGGAAGGATGGCTGACACTGCATGTGTGCGAAAACTTGAAATTCAAGTTCATTGCTTTGGGTATCTTCTCAGAACCTTCAGCTTGCTGTTGACATCTATAGAACTAAAAATGTCTATAAACCTGTGTGCTTAGGGCAAAGACTGGAATAGAATGTGCAGGCATAGGGAGAGAAGGAGTGGGATTATGACTGAAATACCTTTTCTCTCCTGCAAAATTTTTGATTGTGTTGCTTTTAGTGTATTTTAAACATCAGCCTGCCAGCAAAGGCATCCTTGCTTTGGTCCTCCATGTATGTATGTGTGCCTTTTCCTATCACATAGCATCAGACGGAGCATGGCAGAGCCCAGTGATCTAGTCTCTTACCTCCAAAGGAAAAAAAAAAAAAAACCCTTGAGAAAGTGTTTGCGGTTTGCAATCTCTTGTGGTCTAGACCCATTTACTGTGGTCTGTAGAAGATAAATTTTTTAAGCTGACTGCTTCTTTTAGTGTTGTGTTTTTTCATGGAAACTGTGAGCTGTGTGAACTTCAGGTTGCCAGTCTAGACCAGAAAAAAAAAAAACTATGTACTTGAAGTATAGGACTAGGAAAGATTATGAAACTTGACCATATTCCTCTTGTTACACACATATTTTTTTACAAGTTCTACATTGTGCGCCAAGGACATGTCTTGGTTTCTTTGTGGCCTGGCAACTTGTTTGGGAACTGCCTCACTCCTTGCACACCACAGATCGATGGCCCAGATCCTCCACCATCCTCACCACCCAGACACCTCAGCAAGCTCAGGAGAAGGCTCCCTTGTGGCTCTGGATTTAGGAAGAGGACAGAAGGGAAGATGAGAGTACAAGCAGAAAACACACAGGGTGGAGAAGGAAGGCTAAGCCCAGGTCCCGCCTCCTGCCTGCAGGTGCTGGTCAGCCCTGGATGGTGTCACCAGCCAGGCCCTTCCCTTGCTGTCTCTTTGCATAGACTAGGTTTCATGGGATCCTCCCTGCCTTTGCTCCAAATCAAAGCAGAATGAAAACATGAACTTTAATTTCTGCCTGCCATCTTTAAGTAGTATCATCATTCAATATAGTTGGGCCCGTGCCTGTGGCTGTTTGATGCAAGCAGCCACTTCTGCATGGGTTTTGCTGAGACAACTTAGTGGAAGGCCTCCTAGGGTTCCACTACATTGAGACAGTCTGCATGTTGGAAAAGATTTTCGCACAGAGCCCAAAAATGTCTGCTGGAAAATTATTTTGCCAGTGTTATTCCGTCTGCTGTCGGCCATATAAAATCCAAACGTTTGCATTCTCTCATCATGGCGTCTTACAAAGATAAGTCAAGTAAGCCTGACTGCATCAGGAGTTCACCACTTAGGTCTGCTCAGGTTGCTGAGTTTCCCACAGTCCAGGCAACAACTGCAGGTCCTGCCCTCTCCCTGTTCCTGCTGTGCAGTTGTTTAGCAACAGAAAAAACACTGGAATGCAGAGAAGGGAACACTGTATAGCGTTGCTTTCTCCTGCTATTCAGAAAGAATGCCAGGAAGAGTCCCACTGTAATTTGTCCCTAAGTTTTGAGTGTCTTAATGTGATTAGAGCTCAGTTTTATTAGTCTTGACAGCACATAAATTGTGTTATTTTTAAAAACATTAAAAAATATCTTGTTCTCAGAAAGACTCGCCATTTCCCAGATTTAGATCGGTTCTGCCAGTGGTTTCTACTCTGGAAAGCTTTGGATTTTGGTTTCAAGTTTTCCTTCATCAAAATGCTATTTGGAATACAGTGCTACTGCTGTTGTTCATAAATCACAACCGTTAAGAGCTAAGAGATGTCGATGCTCCCGGAGGAAGGAACCGAGACATGGGACATCCTGAACTCCCTGGAGGTGGCAAAGCCCAGGCCAACCCCCTCCGTTTGTTTACTCTTTAGAAATAATTATTAAAATACAAACTTTCTTCTGGAGAAAGCAGAGGGCTTGGCCAGTTTCTCAAAGAGTTTGTAACAAATTAGGAATATAACTAAGCAGTATGAAAGCTTCCTCTTTACCACTTTGCTGGCCCACATAATTGGAATGGAAAATCTGTCCAAAGAGATGGTATTACCTCCCAGATGCTTATTAGGTAAATAAATCAGTGTACTTTCAAGTCCCACATTTAAAGATCTGATGGGAAACTTTTTTTGTTGTTGTTGCCTTTAGTATTTCTTTCAGTTGAACAGAGCAGTGGTAGTTATCACATAAATTTGTCAACGTGACCCATGCATCTTACAGCAGGAACCCAAAGTGAAAGACCAAGCATACATCTAGGAACTGTTTCATAGTACCATTTGTTCATATATAAGAATACTTTCAAAGAAAACGCTCTCCCCAAAGAAATACTTAATTTTCCCTCAGAAGTATAAAATAGCACTCTGTTTTTAAAACTTGTAGTTGTCTTACACCAGTTTTGATACTGATCGGTTCTTGGTATGTCTAGTAAACTTGTTGATCTCTTAAATAAAAAACTACTTCTTTTTCTCTGATATTTCCTACAGTGCCATAAGACTTAGGCTTATTAAAAGTATCTGTTTCGTCTGAAGCACTGGGATCAGGCACCAGAATAGTTATTTTTAAGCTAATGCGTAGTTGTAACAGAAGCCAGCCCCTCCTCCTCCTCTCTGCTCCCTGCTGTGTTGGGCTACCGCCAACAGCAAACATCCTGAGGCTTTCACTGGGGTGTGGGCTGTGATTTCTCTTCCCTCCTTTCTTGTTTAACAACACTCAGGGATTCTTGTGGAATTTAAAAAGACTAGAGACACAGAACCCCTCAGGTTCCTGGGGACTCAGTCGCTGCTTCTTGGCCATTATACCTCTAAGTAGTTAACATGGAGGGATGCTGCACTCTTAACCAAATTAATTATCCAATTTGTTTTCATCCAGATTTAACTCGAAACTTCCTTTGGGTTGGGAGAGAGTAAATGCAATCCTTGAGCGTGTTCGGTTCTGACTATGGATTTTTTTCTGGAAAGAGATGTCTGATCTTTTCTACTGAATACAGAGCTAGATAAACTATTGCTGAAGAACACACTTCTCTTTGTTATGAGAATTTCTATCCTAAGCTCTTCCTTGGAATAATGAGGATTTCTATCCTAACCATCAGTACCATTTCTTTACATAAGAATAAGAACAGTTATTGAGGGAAAATTCAAATATAGTAGTAGAAATCACATAATCACATTTTGAGTTATTCACATTTTAAATCACATTAGAAGATAGTTTTATAGTTTGAAAGAAATGTTTACTCTTTTATTTAATGTATCTGTGGTATCCCTAAATTTCATTACCATTAATTATTAAAAGAAATTTATTTTCCAAAGGTACATATTAAGTCTTGTTAACATTTACAATAAAATATAATGACAGGTTTTCACTTAGTTATCAAAAGACAAAATTACATTTCAAGCAAATCAATAAAACTAGATTAATTTTGAGTACAAATTCCCATTATTTATAAGCATTTACTAGTA